CAGCAACTGAGGTATCTATGGATGTTCATAGAAGTTCGGGAGGTCAAATGACCCCCTTGCCCCTCAATGCATCTGTCCCTGTTTGTATATTTGCTATAATATATTGACTAAATGATCTTAGTTTTAATTTAATTTTTGCAGAGATGATCTTTACAATGTGATTCATATGAATGGTTCTGATCATAAACACAAAGCTCCGCAATTTAAATATTAAAAATTTTGAGTAGGAGTTCATACTCATATTTGAGTAGCCAAATATTGTTCTTTATAAATCTAAGTATTGTTCATTAGAAAAACCAACATGCGTTTCAAGTTCCGACCGTTGATAACCTTTTCCCGGGGAAATAACATCCAACGTGATTTCAGTTAAAACTCCAAACCCAAACCAAAAACCATCACGCTCACTATCCGATTTCACACAAACCCGTCTCCTACCTTTCCAAATTTCACAACTTTCAGATCCCAACGAACCCAAAGCTCGAAACTTTCACTAAAAATTCCCTATTTTACTTTCTGGGTAGGAATAACACGATTTGTTTCGTCCACTCAGTTGCAGATTCTGAAGAAAATGCGGGCTTTCAATGGAGTCTACCAAGTGCTCGAGGAAATGCACAAGAGAGAGGGACTTATCGGTGAAGGAACATATGAGATTTTGCTCAATGGGTATGCGGCTGCGCATAAGGTGGAGGAAGCAATTGATGTGTTTTACAAGAGAAAAGAGTTTGGTCTCGAGCTTGGTTTGGTTGCGTTTCAGAAGCTTATGCTGTGGTTATAGCGGTATAAGCATGTAGAAACTGCGGAAACTTTGTTTAACGTGAAGGGGAAAGAGTTCGGGCAAGATATACAGACGTAGAATATTGGATGGTGTGTGCGAGCGATGTGAGGCGAAAAGGTTTTGGAAAGATATAATCGCGTCTGAATGCAAGCCAGATCAGTTTGCGTCTGGAACTTTTATAAATGCACTGACCAAGAAAGGAAAGTTGGGTACGGCACTCAAGTTTTTTCGAGCAATGTGGGATCAGGGTTGCAACCCAGACGTGGTGACGTGCAATTGCATAATCGATGCTCTTTGTTTCAAGAAGAGGATTCCTTGTGCATTGGAAGTATATGCCCGACGATGTTGCCCAAATGCAGCAACATACAACTCACTAATTAAACACCTATGCAAAGTACGGTGTATGGAGATGGTTTACGAGCTTTTGGAAGAAATGGAACAGAGGAAGGGTAGTTGTCTGCCCAATGAAGTAACTTCCAATTACTTCCTCAAGTCGTCGAAGAAACCAGAGGAAGTTCCTGGCCTGTTGGAGAGAATGCAGAAAAATGGATGCAACCTGACTGGTGACACATACAACTTGCTGTTGAAGTTGTATATGGAATGGGATTGTCAGGAAAGAGTGCGATATAAGTGGGACGAGATGGAGAAAAAGGGGTTGGGACCTGACCGGCGATCTTATACCATTATGATTCACGGGTTCCATGATAAGAGAAGGGTCAAGGAAACTTTGCGCTATTTCCGTGAGATGACATCAAAGGGGATGATACCAGAGCCAAGGACCGAACTATTGATGGATTCTATGAATCTCCAGTCGAAAAAGGAAGGTGGACAAGCAGTAAAGCAAGCAGAGGAAAATGACAGCTTGACATTAGGGCCTTTGTGGAACAATTCATAACCTGCTAGCAAATTAACCTGACCTGTATGGAGGTTTCTATGCTATTACTTGGAATGATAGACGTTTAACGGATTGCAGGTTGCTATGCTATTACAATTGTGTGAAATTTTTTAGTGCTGTTTACAATTGTATTAGCTTTTCTTGTTTACATACTTATAGTAGTCGATTAATTTTTGTCACATAGAGATATAGGGATGGGCATCAAACCAACTGATGTGAATCATATTGGTCGGTTTGGTTTGATTTTGACCAAGAAAAATGTCAAACAAATTAAAAACCGAAACGATTTACTTTTAGTTTGGTTCAGTTTTGATACTTTTCAAATTGACCAAGAACCAAATCAAACTGACCGTGTATCTTTTAATTATTAATTAATTTATTTTACATGTGTCAACTTAGTATAGGTCGTACCATCCACATATCACAAGTCTCAACATATTATAAATTGCGATGACTTCTAACAATTAGGAGATTTATATGTACTTTATGCGTATATAGGGTTGTAATTAATAAATCATTTGCTAGCATGAGATTTTATTTAATCGAAACTTAGTTCTATTTGACTTGATGAACTTTTTATATTCTGAAAAACTCAATCTTTCAATCCAATTAGAATGGATGAGATGTGGGGAATGTTTAGAAGATTTAAACTCTTAAAAGGTTGAACGTTTATTTATTTATTTATGTATTGAATAGCCTCAAACGGACCAAACCCAACCGATTAACAATGATTTGATTTGTTTGGTTCGGTTTCAATGGTGGTATTTGTCAAAACCAAACTAAACAAATCCGTTGAATACTAGTTGGTTTGGTTATATTTTTTGTGCCAAACTGAATTGAATTGATATGCGAACAACGCTACATATGGAGTAAAAAAACATTAATTAAATAAAAAATTTAGAGTAATGCTAGAGAAACTAAATTTGTAGACTAAATCCCAATTGAATACACCCCTAAATGACATGGAAAATGATAATTGAATTATTACTTAAACACTGATAAACATGTTCATTTCCTATTGGTGACACATCATGTAGTTTGCAAATTTAGCCTATAAATTTAGCTAGTCTCCCTAGCATTACTAAAAAAATTTAAGATATGCAGGTTGACAGGTATAAGTTTGGAGGTACTATTCCCTGCGGAGGCAGGGGTAGGGAATCCCCGATTAAAAGACATGGTTATCGGAGGTGGGGGATGAAGGGGCACCGCCGGCCCGCCCCGCCCGGTTGCCATCCGCACTAGCATTACCGAGTTTATAAAGCATTGTACTGCTTATCGTAAAGCCAGAAAAGTAATCAATATTACAAATCCATGAATATTGTAAAAATATACAATATGATGAGATCTCTTAAGATCAGCCTATCTACGTTGCCTTGCCTATATGCGACGCCCGCCTGTGCGCAGTTGGTGGCTGGTGGCAGCAGTTAGACGCGCTCTAAAATCATCGTACTCATGCTCCTCAATCCTCCCTGAGTCCTCCACCAAGAAAACGGATTGAAATTTCTCATGGATTGTAATTTTGTTGGTAACCGGAAACTGCTTGGCCTTGAAAACTAGGGCTACCCTGAGGTATATTCAATCATGGAAGTCAATAGTATTTTGAAGATTGAATAGTTTTCAAGAAAATTCTGTTGCATTTCTGATGTTTTTCACTGATTTCCACTTCTATCAGTTTCATACTCTCATCAAAGTGAGCCTGTCAAAAAGCTCATTTTGAACTAACCACTTTTGAACGAGACATATATCGTCTTCTACATTGCAGTTTTGATCTGTTTAAAAAGCCAAGGTCTAACACCGAAATTTCATTTCAATCCTATTGGCGGCGTGCAAGGATAATTTTGCTTTGGTTGATCATATGCACTGTGTTTTTTCGCTTGGTTGAATAATTGAAAATTGAGATTATTTAGGAATAAACATTGAATGCTAAGATTACGCATTGAATTTCTGATAGTAGATCCATAATAAAAAAAAGTGTTGTGATTGTTCCAAAAGAAATGAAACAAAAGATACGGTAAAGCTAGGACAATCGTTGTATGAGGTCTACTTGGAAATTCATCCATTGCTGCCATAGAGCTGGTTTCAAGTAATGGGTACGGCCTATCCACTGCCAAAGGTGCTGCACTGAAAATCAACATGGTTTTGGTTCTCCTTGTTCATCGGAATACAATCACGTGGCTTCACATAAACCGTCGATCAACTCACCATCATACTGTTAAATATTGGCCAAAACGGAGGTGGCAACATGGATTGATATGGTAGGAATAATGTATATAGAATTTTGACTTACAACAAAATGGCCACGCCACCAGTCGCCTTAGCTGCCAAAGTCTGTTGGGAGTGTCACGGGCTACAACACTTTTTAGTGCTCACACAACTTTCATTCTGTATGTATTTCTCGTTATTCATTCATGGATTTGATGGTTTTTCGTTGCTCATCAGAAAAGTGCATAATTTGATTAAATTTTTAGATTTGAGAAAGAAATTTAGAACCTTGATAGCAACCATTTTGAGCAGGAAGAAAGAGGACCGCCGAAGGGCTAAAATATTTAATTTGGCGACGTTGAGGAGCGCCTTGAACATGCAGTGATGAACATAGTGACAAGATCGTTCCAATAGAAAACCATAAAACAAAGTCGTCTTTAAATAACTGAAAAATGAGTGAGGCATGAGTGTAGTAACCCATAAAACAAAGAAAGAAAACCAAATAAACTCAAATAAAAATATTCTGAATAAAAAAGAATTAGATACAGTTCTCTCCCCCTTCTGCTATCATCAAAACTGATTTGCGAAGTCTGAAGTGATCAAAAATCTAAATCTATACGTACGGTATTAGAATTATACGTTAGTGAGGCTGTAAATTGTCGAAAATCAGAGATGAAATCCTTGAGGCACATACGCTTTTCCTCCATCCCTAATAGTTGTTGGTTTCAACTTTCAAGTGCTTAATATGGACTCGGATTCGATATGAAATAGACTCGTGAAACTATAAAAGGTTAAAACTAGATGCAAAGCCGTAATTGAATTAGAAGTTGAACAAGACATAAAAACTATAAAAGGTTAAAACTAGATGCAAAGCCGTAGAAACGAGAAATGAAGATGGAGGAGGGTGGAATTCCATTGTCGCCTGAAGGGCCTAAAAAGAGCTAGAACAGGAGTTTAGTGGTCCTGTAATAGGGTTGGGTTGGAGTGCACCTGAGCAGTAGTGCAATGCTTAGGCACGAGAATCTCATAAAATGTTCTTTCTAAAATAATCTATGTCAATAAAAGTTTAATATAAAATTGCAGTAGAAAGAACTGGGGATAAAGCCATAAGGAATTGAACTAGTTTTGGTGGGGTGCGCCAGCCCGAGCAGTAGTGCAACGCTTGGGCGACACGCAAGAGTCCCAATAGCAAGCTATTGTAATGGACTCTCCCCCTAAAGAAATTAATTTAATATCATGTAGACCATTGGTCCACATATCAGATATTAAACTGATAAGAACAGATACTACACTTGATCTTAGCCAAAAGGCCGAGAAAGGTATGCTTAGTAATGTTTCGTACAACCTCATTTATTCTGTCTCTTTGCTTAACCATTCTTGCTGTGGCCGGTGCGGGACTAAGATGTTTATGCCATGGGTCCTAAATAGGTATGCATCGCCCACATTTTTACTACAATGCATGCATGCATCCCTTTCCTAGCTAGGAGGTAAAAACCTTCACACGGACGTTTGAAACTTTGTCTTCTCGATTCTCTTTAAAAACTAACGGCTTCAGGAACATGAGGGAAGGATAAACCGAAAAAGGATCGATTCTTGTGTTGTTTTCGCCAAACAACATCAAAAGGTGCAAGTAGAGCTTGTTTTTCAAGTTTTAGTTTACCTTTATTCTGAATCCACATGAGGATTGAGATATAACAAAAAAATTCATCAAGATTTATTAGATACTCAGTCATAACTTTAAAATCAATTGGTTAGTCATATCTCAACCCTCATGTACATTCACAGAGGTAGAAGTTTACACATGCGTAGAAAGTTCATGTCTTCATTGCATGCGGTTAAAAAGGATTGTGTCTAAAACCCAACCTTACTACATTCAAGAGGGGTGTATTGTGTGACTCTGTATTAAGTAAAGACTTTTATGGCTTTTAAAACTCTATGAAAATTCAATTATGACTTTTTGTGGGTTTACAAAAATTCAGGTGTATTCAAAATTTCATTTATTTTAAAAGATTTTAGAATTCATGGATTTTTATAGACTTGTGCTTTTATAGTAAGTTTTTTTTTGTCATAGCTAACTAATTCTCTCCCCCTAAAATTTTGATGGATTTTATTTTTCTCAATTATCTGATGATATACTCCACCACCCATCATAATGCAATGAAGATCATTATCAGCACTTCCACCACCATGTCGCCGCCACCACCACACATTGGATGCTCCTTGCTTGTGGAGTGGCATACCACATACCAAAAAAAAAAAAAAGGTGAGATAATGCCCCTCCCTAAATGGTTTGAGAATGGAACAACATATCACCATAACTACCACCTCTACCACCAACATCACCAGCCCATCAGCAACACCATCGCCTCATCCCTACTCCTTCACCACCACATCACCACAATTAGCACTCCTACTATTACCTCCACCACCATAGACACCGGCTTTACTATCACCATTTTGCTGACAATGACCACGAGACACACTTTCACCACTACTATTGCCAGCACCTCATAAGACCACTTTGTCATGGTCATGATCACCATTTCAATAATGAAAACTTAAAAATAACAATGCTTATTAATAAATTGGTTATTAAAAAGTCCATGACAATCCACAAAATTCTAGCATTGAACTCTCTAGAATTTTACAAAAGTCTATCGTTTTACTTTATTTTCCACAAAAAATATATCATTAAAAGTCTGAAATTTTTAAGAAGCTTATAATAATCAGTAAAAGCCTACTAAATCCGTGAAAGTATAGTACTTCAAAAACTCAACAAAAGTCCATATAAATCTTGATACCCTACGGGCCTACACCCGTAAGTAGTCTTGAACCAACACGATCGATGGACGACATCTTAAACATTTCTATTGTCAAAATATACAGAAAGGAACATGGAATCACTTCCTTCAACTCCAATAAAACTGAAATCAATTCCGATCACCCCCCACTGAAATCCAACAATGACAAGGACAAGGATACTCCATGCTTTCCAACAGTCCTACTCCTTCCACTCTGGACTCTCCCTCCAGGTACGTCTACTCAAATTTACCAGAGCATGGTCAAGTGTCTTATGGAAGCAGTTGAAAAAGTGGGGTGTGTTATGGAATATTGGATGAAATGAGAATATATCCCACGGTTCAAATCTAGGCTTTGCCTCCATCCCAACATCAAATCTCTCATTTTTCTTAGCGAAAAAAGATCTCTCCAATTTGTTCACTCGCTCTACGAAATCGCCAAATTCATAAACAACATTATATAGATTGTTGGGACCATGAACGATAGAGTTGCCAAATTCATACGTGCATGCAGCACCATGAACGAACAGGAGTAGAATAGTGAAATTGGATTAGCAAATGTTGACGCAACATGGTTGTGTTACAAAGAGTTTAGTCAGCTTCGATCAAGGCTGTAAATTGCCGAAATTCCGACCGTTACAGAGATGTAAACCCTTAGGGTTCTTATGCTTTTCCTCCACCACTTGAACTAGAATCACTGTAATTGAATCAGAAGTTTAACAGGGCATAAAACTGTAAAAATTGAAACTAGATTTGGTGGAGTGCGCCAGGCCGGAGCTGTAGTGCCACACTTGGGCGACGCGTGAGAGACCCAGTAGCAAGCTACCGCAGTGGACTCTCCTCCCTAAAAAATTAATTTAATATCATGTGAACCATTGATCCACGTATCAGATATTAAACTGATAAGAACAGATACTACACTTGATCTTAGCCAAAAGGCCGAGAAAGGTATGCTTAGCATTGAGCCGTAAAACCGTATTTATTCTGTCTTCGCTTTGCCCTTTCTTGCAGTGGCCGGTGTGGGATTAACATGTTACAAGTTGAGAAAATGGGGCTAACTTCCACGCTATTAGAAAAAGATGCTTACATTGTTAATACCAACTTCCACAATCATAAAAAATAAAAACAAAAATTGCTCACAATTCATTAGAATTATGCCATTCAAATTCTTTTGTTTCAGTTATAAGATTATCAAATTATTGTGCTCGCAGTGATGAGATTATCAAATTATTGTGTCTTACATGCTTGAATTTGAATTTTCTAATTCTTTTTTTTTTCAGCAAGAATTCTAATTCTTGGATTGTTCATTTTGTTTGTTCACTAATGTAATATTATATTTTCTGATGAAAAAAGGTCATTGAGGCGAACCCACAGGTAGTAAGGAAGTGGAGGACGATCCTTTTGATCTGGAACCTATCATTGCAGCTGTTTCGGTTGACCTCAAAAGGAAAAAGCGATCGTACCGGGAGGCGGTACAAACAGATTGCACTCAAGATGTGGAGGTGATAGCAACCAAATCAAGGAAGAGTTTTTCTATCGAGGCGGAGGAGACCAGCCACAAGGGGTCTCCCAATTCCCAATGAAGATAATTACGTGGAACTGTCAGGGTATCGGGGGTGACCTGACAGTTGACAATTTGTTGGAGCAAAATAGGCTTCACACCCCCGACATAGTGATCCTGCTTGAAACAAAAAACAAAAGCAGTCGCTATGGGTATCTAAAGAAGAGACTTGGTATGGAATTTCTGCACGCTGTAGAGCCTAAAGGAATTGGAGGGGGGCTTTGTGTATTCTGAAGGGATGGCTCGAAGATCCTCCTGGTGAAATCTACGGACCATATGATTGAGGTCAAGGTGTGGGACGACGATAAGGAGTGTTACTGGAGATTATTTGGCATCTATGCTAGCACGGACGAAAAGAAGAGGCGTGACCAATGGAGAACCCTAGGCAATCGGATTGGGAGGGAAAGGGACCCCTGCCTCTTTATTAGGGATTTTAATGACATTTTGTGCAATGGCGAAAAAGATGGTGGCAACCACAGATCTGCGGCTAGCATGAGGGACTTCAGAGATTTTGTTGCCAATAATGAACTGCTGGACTTGGGTTATGAAGGGTATCCGTTTACCTGGAGAAACAACAGGGATTCACTACCTATCCAACAGAGACTCGACCGGGGTTTTGCGAGCCTGGGATGGCACGACCTGTACCCGGACACTAAAATCCTCCATGTCGCGCTGGAAGGCTCTGACCACTCTCTCTTGTTGCTTACCACCAAGAAGTCTGAGGAGTGGAGGGGAAGAAGATTCACGTATGATGCCAGATGGAGTAAATCTGACGACTGCCACAACCTGGTGGCTAGGGACTGGGCGGGCAACGTTTGGGGCTCTCACGCCTTCCGGCTTAGTGAAAAGTTAAAGACTGTCAGCCGGAGTCTCAAAAGATGGTACAGGGAAAACGGAAGAAACACCAAAAAAACAATTGACATGTTGAAAGGTGAGCTGAGGGGAGCCTATTAATCTAAACACTTTGCCTCGGAGGAAGTCCACATTAAAGAGAGACTTCTGCGGGAAGCGCATAAGGGGGAGGAGGCCTACTAGCGGGCCAAGTCTAGGGTCCAATGGCTAAATGACGGCGATAAGAATACGAAATTTTTCCACGCACAAACGATGAAGCGCCGAAGATCTAATAAGATAAAGGGCCTGGAAGATCTGCAGGGGGTCTGGCGCTCGGATGCTGATGGGATTTGTTCGACTGCGGTGAACTATTTCAGTGATCTTTTTCAGTCTAGCAACCCGACTCAGATTGGAGAAATTACCTGTAGTGTGCAGACAAGGGTCTCCCACGAAGATAACTCTCTGCTGACGGCTCCGGTCACAGAGGGAGAAATTCAGGAGGCGGCTTTCTAAATCCCTCCCACAAGGGCCCCGGGGCTGGATGGGTTCTCTGGGAGTTTCTACCAGGATCATTGGGAGGTGGTGGGAGGGGATGTTATTAGCACTGTTAAAGCATTCTGGAAGTCGGGCAAGCTCCTAAAGAAACTAAACCACACCAACCTAGTTCTTATTCCTAAAGTTGCCTGCCCAAAAAACATGACGCAATACCGTCCCATTGCTTTATGTAATGTCATTTATAAGATTCTTGCTAAAGTGCTCACCAACAGACTGAAAAGAGTCATGCCTAAAGTGATTAGTGACAACCAGTCGGCCTTCGTAGCAGGGAAGTATATTCAAGATAATATTCTGGTTGTTCACGAGATCTTTCACTCTCTTATGCATCAGACTAAGAAGGACAGGGCGGGCATGGCTTTAAAGCTGGATATGGCTAAAGCCTACGACCGGGTTGAGTGGGGCTTTTTATTAATCATGATGGCCAAGTTGGGTTTTGATCCTGTTTTTTGTAGATGGATTAAGGAATGTGTCTCTTCTGCCTCTTATATCATATTGATGAACGGGACGCCTAAAGGCTACATCCTGCCGCAAAGGGGTTTGAGACAAGGAGACCCTTTGTCCCCTTACCTCTTTCTTCT